TGAAGTGAGTAGGGAGAAACTGCAGTGAGAAAGAACGGGAGCAGATGCGCCGGCTCGGCTCCTGGGGGACAGCTGAGCGGGTGGCGGGTGGCAGTGACCTGTCGCCTCCCAGGAGTGGACACAGCATGGAAGCTGCGTGTGGATAGCACTGGAGACAGAACTCACCGCTCGCCCAGGGCTCGGGGGCACGCGCTGGTCTGCAGAGGGCCAGGGAGAGAGGCTGGGTCTCAGATGGGCTCAGGGAGCTCAGGGGGGTGGCAGCCGGGGCCGACGGTGTCCTGGGGACTGAAGCCTTGGGAGGTTCTACAGCGTCTTCGGGGCGGCCTTTGTTCAGTCTGTCCCTGCATCCACTGTGAGGTCTGCTCGGCTCGGGGGGACAACGGAAAGGCAGGGAGGTGGCGGTGGGGAGAGGACGAGGAAGGGGAAGCCCCACCCTGCCCTGCAGGTGCCAGGGACCACGGCTTCCCTCGGTGGACGTTCCAAGGGCGTGCCGGAGGCAGCAGGGGAGCAGCCCTCTCTGTGCGAGTCAGCGTGGCCAGGACGATGTGTGAATTCAGCAGCCTGCTGCGGCCCCTGTGTTTGCGCCACCGCCCCCTCCCCCAGGGGCGAGGACCCCCGTCCCGTGGACCTGGGCGCAGCTCCCTCACACGGCCACTTCATAGAGCAGTGGGAGAGAGAGCCAGAGCAGGTGTCCCCGCCCGCTCCCGGGTGTGCTGCAGCCATGCCCGGGCGGCTCCTCTCTCTGGCCACGTTGACAAGCACCTGTTTAGGCTTACAGCCTGCCTCTCCCACCCGGCCAGGTGTCCTGATGGGGCAGGGCCTCCTCTGTCCACCACCAAATCCCATGGGACAAGGACAATGCGCAAAGCTGTACCCGCCAGCCTGAACACAGGCACACACAGCAGATGCTTATCTGATGCCCAGTGTCCGCCCCCAGGCCGGCCTGCGACCCTGGGGACCCTGAGTGCTGCAGCCCCCCACCCCGTCAAGCTGAGGCGGAATCAGCAAGGTCAGCTCCTCCCACCTCTGTCTGCTGGGCGTGGCCAACCATCATCCACCTCTTTCCTGCACCTGCTGCCCTGCCCTTCCCCCCAGGACTCTTTCCCCATGGTGTCTGGGTGCTGCCCCCTGGTTCCAGGAGGGGAGCACACGGGTGGCCAGCACCTCCTGCTGTAGTCACGTGGCCTTGGCAGCTGAGCAGGGTGATGTGGGTGGCAGCAGAGACCCCAGCCGTAGCCTCTCCAGGCTCTGGGGCTGTGGGCCTGACACAGCCACGCTGCTCACTGCCAAGCGCAGACCCGACTCTGCCAGCCCCAGGCTTCTGTCACCACAGCCCCTGCCGTCTGGCTGTGCCGGCTTAAGGTGTTGTGCCACAGAGCTTTCTTCACGTTGGGACCGGAGGAAGCCTGAACAGATGCCTGTGCCGCTTCCTACTGCCACCCTCCACACACCACAGATGCTTCGTGTGTCCCCACGCGATCCAAGCACAGAGCAGGAAGTAAGCAGGGGCCGCGGGCCGGTGCCCGGTGTCCCTCCGAGGGGGCTGGGGTTGGGAGTGGCCCCACACAGGGGAGGAGCGGGAAGAAAGCCCGACTTCTAGGGCGTCCCCATCTGAAACAGCCCTGAGGTTGGTCTTCACCCCTCCGGAAACTGCTGTGCCCAGGCTCACCCCGTGAGCGTCCCACGGACAGAGCTGATGGCCTCTGCCCAACTTCATCCCACCAGCGGCTCCAGAGCTGGAGACCGTGAGGCTGATGTGGCTCTACATGTGGCCCAGGAGAACACGAAGCAGGGCGGTGTCCCATACGTGCTCCCCCCTGAGGCTCAGTCTCTGGAGTTAGTGGGAACGGGTAAGCGTCTCCCCAGGCTGTCCCGATGCCTGAACCGATGCATGGAGCTGGAACAGCTTGAATGACACCTGCCCAATTCTTGGGCACACAGAGCAACGAGCTCTTAGAGCAAAGGCTGTGTGCCTGTCACGTGGACAAAGCGCAGACTGTGGGCGCGCATGGGCCCCACTTCCCACGCATCCTGGGAGCGAGGCGCTAAGAGATAGAGGACAGAGAAGGGTGGCAGCTTATGCAGTCACATAGCCAGGAAGGGTGGTGCCGCGACACCAGCACAGCAAAGCAGCTCAGGGCTCCGGACCCCCAGCCCCGACACCACCTGACCCTCTTGTAATGGCCGTGAGCTGGACTTGGGTCAGAGGAGCTGAGCCCGCCCCTTGCAATCTGGGAAATTCATTCAGTTTCTGGAGAAGTTCCGGGCGCTTGGCGGTCAGGAGGCTCCAGAGCAAAGACGCACAGGAGAGGTTTGCACATGGTGAAGGGCCGGGGACGCGGGCGGCGGCGTCACCGCTGCCTGAGCCCTGCCCGTGTCTCCAGCGAGGCCCAGGCAGGAGGGGCCGCGGTGGGAAGGAGCCGGCCCAACATGCCCCGCGAACTTGTTTCTCTGGAGAGCCGGAGGGTGCTGGCGGGAGGAGGAGGCAGCCCCGTGGCCGTCCCTGCAGACACCCCCACAAGTGCCCCCTTTGCTGCCCTCTGAGGGGGTAGCAGGTGCTCCCCAAAGGGGCGGCCTTTCCCAGGGACCATCGTGCAGGTGGACAAAGCGCTCACTGGGGGAGGCTTAAGCCACAGACATGTCCTCCTCCCGATGCTGGAGGCCGGGGCTCCCAGCTCAGGGGGAACCAGGGCTGGTTTCTCCGGAGGGTCTGGTGCTGGCCTCTCCCCCCACCTCTCTCCGACTTCACCCAGCGTCCTCCCCTCCCGGTGTGCTCCAAGTTCCCGTGCACATTTCCCCGGCTGCACCGGTTGCATTGCAGGGGGGCCCGCCCCTCCCCAGCACAGCCCATCTTTTCCAATCCCATCTGCAATGACCCTGCTTCCAGACAAAGCCACGGCTCCAGGCACTTGAGAACTTGGTGGGGGGGCAATGCAACCTCTGACAGCCACGGGGTGTGACAGCAGCTCTGAGACTTGGCCTGCGCTTGCACACTGCCCCCGTGGAGGCTGCCTCTTTCCAGGGAGTTACAGGCTCTCCCTCAGGGGTTTGAACAACAGGTGGTTGAGGGAGGGGCCCCCTGCTCCGGGCCCATTCGGGGGGACCCCCAAGGCTTGGGTGTCTACTTCATTGACAAACGAAGCCCCAAAATCTGCTTTCTAAGATGCCCCTTTGGGGCCAGTGGGACCAGAGGCATGAGGATGACGGACGCCACGTGGGGCCCACCAGCAGCCCCGGGTGCCATCCTGGGACGGGGCGGCCATGCCCAGTAGCAAACCCCTTGCCGTCCGAACCTGAAGATACTCGGAAGCCCAGCAGTCTCCCGGACCGCCTTCAATGCTGTAAAGATACTTCCTGAATGCGGGGGGGCCCGAGGGCCCAGGCAGGTGCAACAGGGGCTCTGTGCGTGTGAGCTTTGTCACGCTGCCCTCATCTGAACGCCGCTTGGTCTGTTTTGGTTGTTACCTAGCTCTGCTTTCATAAAATCCCGAGGCCGTGGACACACAGCATTGAGTCACAGGCAGGATCCTGGTGCCCGGTTCTTCGGAGGAAGACTCTGGGCGATTTGGCTGTGCTCTGGGGAGGAGGAAGGCAGCACACGATGAGGACAGAGTGACAAACCAAGACCCAGCCAGGCCTCCTTCCAGTGCTCAGAGACGGCACCAGGAACAGAAAACGGCTTTGGAGGGGTGCGGATGAGCCTGCGGGAAGGTGGGGGCCGCAGGCAGCAGGGAGCTGCGTGGGTGGGTGCCCGTGCCCGGGAGGAGCCAGCCGGTCAGCCAGCGCGCACCCGCGCCTTCACTGGGAGCTGCTGTAGGCTCTGCGTGGGACCCCGCGCGTGCCCTGGGCACTGGCTGGAGCCTGGCGGTGGATGCGGGGCTGCCTTGGACTTTTTTACAAAGGCGGTTTCACGCGGTTCTGCCTACTGCTGCATTTCTCATTCTCACGCCCATCTAACAGCCCCGGGCCGTGGCTGTCACTCGAGCGTCACTGGGTCTCTGGGGGCCCCTAAAATACACCCGTGTCTCCGAGAATTCAGGGGATCCCCAGGTCGTGGGACGACGACGGGCGGGTTGTCCTCGCCGCCTCCACGCCCACGGTTACTCGGGATGCTCACGGTACACGGCGCCGGCCAGAGGGCGCCCACCGAGACGCTGGGCGCGCAACCCGTCCCCTGTGCCCCCCGCCCCTTCCTCCCCGCACGCGGGGACACAACTCCTTGGTGCAGCCCGGGGGAGCGACCCCACAGCCCGCCCCCTCCTCAGGCTGCGCTAATTCGACTTCGCCCCGCCCCCTGCCGCAGCCCCACGCCCCGCACCTGCGCACGCGGTGTGCAGGCGCCCCGGGGGAACAGCCACGTGGAGGGTCCCGCGTGCGTGCCGAGGGGCCGCCGGCCTCCGCCCAGCCCCGGGCGTCCCCAGGCCCGCTCTCCTGCCGCGCCCTGGGTCCGCAGTCCGGCACCGTCCGGGTCTCACTGGGGGAGGGGACGCGCTGGTGGCGGGATCACGCCCCCCTCCCTGGGCGATTTCGAGGATTTCGGCTTTTTTAAGGTCCCAAAAGACGCTGAGGGGGCGGGCTCCGCTGCGTAAGGGCGGGGAAAGTGAGGCCCTGCGGGGCTAGGCAGGTGCCCGCAGGTCACGAGGCCCTCCCAGCGGGCGGGGGCGCCGGTCGCCCAGGCGGGGCGCGCCCCGGACCGCGGCTCCCGGGCCCGGCTGTCGCAGCGCGGCCGCCGCCGAGCCCCGCGGCCGGGGTGCGGGCGGGCGCAGTGCGCAGGCGCGGCGGGCGGGAAAGGACGCGCTCGGGGCGCGCGCGCTGGGCAGCCGGCGCCCCAACTCCGCCCGCCGCGCCCCGGCGCCTAGCCGCCCGCCCGCCCGCCCGCCCCGGCGCCCCGGCGCCCCGGGCTGGCGAGGGGCGCGCCCGCGGCGGCGGCCGCTGCATGGCGCTGAGATGGCGGGGGCGCCGCGCGGCGGAGGCGGCGGCGGAGGCGGCGGCGCGGGCGAGCCCGGGGGCGCCGAGAGGGCGGCCGGGCCGGGCGGCCGGCGCGGGCTGCGGGCGTGCGGCGAGGAGTTCGCGTGCCCCGAGCTGGAGGCGCTGTTCCGCGGCTACACGCTGCGGCTGGAGCAGGCGGCCACGCTGAAGGCGCTGGCCGTGCTCAGCCTGCTGGCCGGCGCGCTGGCGCTGGCCGAGCTGCTCGGCGCGCCGGGGCCCGCGCCCGGCCTGGCCAAGGGCTCGCACCCGGTGCACTGCGTCCTCTTCCTGGCGCTGCTCGTGGTCACCAACGTGCGCTCCCTGCAGGTGCCCCAGCTGCAGCAGGTCGGCCAGCTGGCGCTGCTGTTCAGCCTCACCTTCGCGCTGCTCTGCTGCCCCTTCGCGCTGGGCGGCCCCGCGGGGGGCCCCGCGGGCGCGGCGGCGGGGCCGGCGGCCGCAGAGCAGGGGGTCTGGCAGCTGCTGTTGGTCACCTTCGTGTCCTATGCCCTGCTGCCCGTGCGCAGCCTGCTGGCCGTCGGCTTCGGGCTCGTGGTGGCTGCCTCGCACTTGCTGGTCACCGCCACCTTGGTCCCCGCCAGGCGCCCTCGTCTCTGGAGGACGGTAAGTGCCGCTGTGCCCCGCATCTGGTCTGGGACGCACCTGCCCGGTGGGACCGGGAGCGCCCGCAGTGGGGCGCGCTTTTCCCTATCGGGCGGGGGGTGGGGGGAAACTGAGGCCCCGAATGTGGGGAAGGGGCGGGGGTGCGTGTTCAAGGTCACCCAGACCCTTGGGAACGCAGCCGGGGATGGCACCCTCGTCCGGGCGCTCCTCTGAGCTGGAGTCCACCCAGCTCCCTCTTGGAGACAGGCAGGAGGAGAGGGGGACTGGCCCAAGGTCAGGCAGCTGTTGAGCGGTGCTGGAGCCGGGGCCGTCGCTGGCTGTCTCGCTGCACCGCTCTCCGTGGGCGGGGGTCTCCGCTCCTGGGCTGGCGGAGCGCGTAGCCCGGGGCTCCTCTTGGGAGCGCCCAGGGCGCATGCCGGGCTCGCCTCCCAGCCTTGCGGATCCGGGGATGGATTGCGGGAGGAGAAAGGACTTCGCCGCCGCTCCCGCTCCCTGCCCACCCCGCGCGCGTCTCCCGGGGCCGCTCTGTGCGGCCCCGCCTGCGGCCCCGAGGGAACAGGTTTGCCAAGGTCACACTCGCGGTAGGCGCTGCCGCCGTCCTGACTGGTTCCGCAGCGCCGGAACTTTGCCACTGTCCTCCGAGCGGGGCGGGCGAGGTGGTGGCAAGGACGGCTTCCAGCTCCTCCTGGGCTCTGGGGAGGTGGAGGTGCAGGCGGCCCGAGCTCTCCGCGGGGCTTTCGGAGCCGGTGGGGGGCAGCGTGCCTGGGGCTGGAAGTGCCCCAGAGACCGTTTGGTTTCTCCCTCTAGCTGCAGTGGGCAGGAGGACTGGCTGAGTCAGGTGGGGAGGGGGCTCCACCAGGAGAGGTTTGCAGTACTAGTGAAGGGGGGGAGCTGGACAGAGAGGGTGAGAGGGGTCAGACCCTGTGCCGTGGTCACCGGGCATTGGGACATACGGCTGGGTGCAGGGACAGGCGCATGTCTGGACTCTGCTTTAAGGGCAGAGAGCTGGGATGTGCTCAAAACCACGGGCCCCTAGGGGCGACATGGAAACGGAGCTGAGAGAGGGAGGGTACGGAGCAGAGGTGAAGGTGGAGAAAGGGGGAATGGAGCCAGAGACCGTGAGACCCCTCCCCTTGAGGGCGGTGCAGGGTTCTCCAGCAGCCTCCTCTGGACTCCAGGTCGGCCTTGCCTGACCATCTCAGGGACACACCTGTGCCTGCCCCACAGGTCTGTGTTTAGCCGGGGCCTCATGCCGTCCCCCACACCAGACCTGTCCCCAGGAGACGACTTCCCCACTCTGACCAGACACCCAGGCCGTTCAGGAGTAGAACAGGGGCCCAGGGACCCCGACCAGGCTGTTTTCCCTGTGCACACCAGGGACGCAGCAGGTGCACTAAAAGGCTGCATTATTGTTTTCTCCTTTTAAATTAAGAATTTTCCTGTAGAGCCTCCAGGCTTTCATTTTAGAAGATTAAAGCTTTGAAAAGGGAGGGGGTTTTGCAGAGGTGCCCGCGTCACAGCACTGGTCCACCCCCCACTGGTGGCCTCAGAGGTGCCCGTGTCAAGCAGTGGTCCACCCCCCCATGGGTGGCCTGAGGTTCCTGTGGCACAGCAGTGGTCCACCCCCCCACTGGTGGCCTCAGAGGTGCCCGTGTCGAGCAGTGGCCCACCCCCACGGGGCAGCCTCTGGAGGTGCCTGTGTCACAGCAGTGCCCCCCCCCCCGCCACGGGGCAGCCTCTGTCCCACTTCTCAGGAGGCACCTGGGCTCCTTTCCTAGCAAACGTTGGGGTTTTTCTGCCGCCAGCCCCTTGGGCATTGCAAACCCTGCCCTCCATGGGCCTCGGTTTCCCCACTCACAGGAGGGGCATGAGCCCCCCACCAGCAGTACCGTGCTGAGGGCTGAAGGTCCCCATTGCAGGAGCCCGTGGTGGAAGCCCCCGGTCGTCTTGAACACTCCTATGAAGTCCTCCAGTCGGCACAGTGGTCGTGGTGCTGACATGGTGTGTGGGTGTGGGGTGAATGCACAGAGACGTACTGAGGGGCCTCCAGGACCCCGGGGAATCCCGTCTTCCAGGTGGGAGATTCTGGGACCTGTGGAACTCCTGCCCCGTGTCCTCGAGGGGAGCCAAGCAGGTGGCACCCACCCTGCGGAACGTGGGGGTGGCTGCTGCTCTGCCTCCCATTCAGACCCTGCGTGGTCGCCTGCTGAGAGTAGCACCGCCTCGATCCGGAATTCTGGGCAGGTGCGTTGGATGCCCCCAAAGAGGCCGACTGACCGCCTGGATGAGCAAGAGGACAGGAGGGGCGGCAGCTTCGCGCAGGGGTTGCCCTGCTGCGCAGACAGCCAGACCCTGGAGGGCTCGGGGTCGGGGGTTGGCCTTGCCCTCCAGGGCCCAGCCGGGCAGAGGTGTCATGTACTTGTGCGTCAGGCCCCTGGGTGTTCTAACGCAGCACAATTCATTTTCACTTAGGGGAGTGCCTGCCAGAACTCAGCCCTGCCCGGGTGGGTTGGAGAGTGAGGGCGTGGGTGTGGGCTGAGCCCCCTGCGGACCCCGCTCAAGGGACAGACTGACAGAGCCCAGGAGGGACGATGGCATCTAGGGTGGCCCTTGCCCAGCTGCTGGGGCCGGGCCCCCATCGTGCGCCAGGAGAGCCCAGGGTGTGGTCCCTGGCAGCTGGGAGCACGCGCGCTCTGAGCGCCCTGGCAGGACGATGGGCGTTATTTTATGTTCTGCAGCGGCAGGAGCGCATTGCTGCGTGGAAGAATGAGTGACGCGTGGTCCTGATTCTGCCGAGTCTTCACCGTGGCCAGGGTAGCCGAGATGGCCACTGTAGTTGGGGACGGAAGTCAGCTGAAATTCCCCGTGCGGCCCCAGCTCCTTCCCGGCCCTCGTGCAGAACCGGGTGACCTGGTTGTTGGTGGCACAGCTGGCGGCCCAGGTGTGCGCCGCTGATGCTAAGCGGCCAGCACTCGCGCCTTCGCCTGTGCGGGGCCCAGGGCCGGACACACAGTCTCCAGCTGCTCTGAGGCTGCCTGAGCCCGGCAAACCGCACTTCCCCTGCTGGCTCCGCCTCCTCGCCGCCCCGCCCCCAGCTTAGCTCCTCCCCACCAGCCCCTCCTCATTGGCCCTCTTCTTCCCCAGCTGTCCTTGTCTCGGTCCTGACAGCCCCGTGGTGCTCACCTTCCTGGGCACGCCCCTGCCTTGACAGGAGGGCGACAGATGGGCGCTCCTCCTGGGGCAAGGAGAGGCTGTGGGGAGGAGACACCTGCAGGTGGTCTCCTTGTCCTTGGCTGGGCCCCTCACCCCCACCCTCCCCTGTCTCCTGGCTGCCTGGGCGCTCCTGCCCCCCATGCCTGGCTGCAGGACCCTGCACTCCCACCAGTCTTGCTACTCCCTCCAGGCCTTGTCTGCTGCAGCCCACAGGGGATGCAGATCCCTGGAGGTCACCCCGTGCCTCTGCCCAGAGTGGTGGCTCCCTGGGTCCTGGCCCACAGCCGGGCCTGTTTCTCTGTCACCTCCTGCCCCCCCCCCCCACGCCAGTGGTCTCTGACTCCCACAGGACAGCTAGAGGGAGGCTGGGCTGGGAGTCATCCCGGGCACCGGGACTCCCACCTGCTCCGCCTCCACTGTCCCGTGCCAGGGCTTTCTCTGCTCCCAGCCCAGAGGGACCGCTGCCCGGGAAGGTGCTGGGGCCCAGTCCCCTTGGGAGCACACGCGGCAGCAGCTGCCTGGTGTGTGTGCTTCTCGGTGGCACTTCTGTGGTCAGATGGTGTTGGGAACCAGGCTCAAGCTAGGGGCTGGGGTACCCCCCACCCCCCGGGAGACCCTGGCCTGCACCTGACCTGGGCAGGGGTTCATGGGGCCTTGGGGAGGGGCATGGGGGACTGAGTGACCCAGGGAACAGGCCAGGCCAGGGGCATGGTCAAGGAGGCCAGGGGCCTGGAGAGTGAGAAGAGGCCAGAGGTGGCCCCTGGTGGGGCGTCCCGCTCAGCAGGCTTCTGTGGGCTGGGGTCTGCATGGCCCATCCCCGCCACTCTCAGAATGGTCATCATGCCCTTCTGGGACCCACGGCGATCCTGGATGATGTCCCTCTGCTGTCATGTTTCTGAGGCCCAGGGGGCCGGGTCTGTGCTCTCCTGGGGGGTGGGCCGTTCCGGCAGGGGTGCAGCAGGGCGGGGCAGGTGGAGCAGGGGCTCAGTTGACCATTCAGGCGGAGCCCAGGCCTGCACCTGGGTGGACCACCCAGCACCTCAGGTGCTGGCGTAGCTGTGCGACCTGGGGCACAGGCAGTCCTTGGGCTCAGCCCCCGTGGTCAGTGGGCTCCGTGCCTCTCCCGTGTCTGTAAAGCAAGAGTGTCCTGAGCTCTGCCGTCAGTGCCTCACCCCTGGGCTGCAGGACCAGTGTACCCCGCCCCCCTGCCAGCTCTGATGCTAGTTGTGCCCTGCAGGGCCCTGTGACACGGGAGCTGTGTCTCGCTGTCACACCTACTCTAGCTGGTGGCCTGTGAGCCTGAGCCATCGACGTGTGGCACCGGCCTGGAGCACATGTTGGACGATGCCCTGGCACGCGGGTGGCGGTCTCGGTCAGCCAGCAACCCGAACAGCCGGGCCTCGACAGCCCAGCCAGAGGGGCCGTGTGGTGGCGGTGCAGGTGGGCATCCCTGTGGCTGGGGGCTTTGCGGGTTTCTCCTGTCAGGCTGGCCCCTTTTGGGCCTGGCTGGGGCGCCCAGCAGGGCCCTGGGGCCTTCCTGAGGGACCCTGTTCCCACAGCCACAGGCCCCACCCTTCACTGTGGGGCTGAGTGAGGATGGGAGGTCCCCCCACTGTCACGCACTCACACACGTGCCCCCCACACGTGCCCGCCAGAGCGCTCCCCCTTTCTCACACTTCCACGGGTGCTCCCACCCAAAGACACGCTCCTGTGCCCACTCAGGGCGTGCACTCCTGCACACACTTTTGTCACATGCCCCTCGTTCGTGGGTGGCTGTGTCCCTGTCT